CCCCCCACACACACACCTACACACAAACACCCCCCTCTCCCCACATCCACACATACCTTGTTTTGGTAGCGGGTAGGGAACTCCAAAGAATTCATCATAGAAACTGAGAACCTCAGCCCCTACGCCCAGAGCGTATTCGGTGTCGTTGAGGGATTCTGGGATGGCCCAGGCTCTGTACTATATTATAGAGAAACATAGGATTTGAGTTGAAGGGGCTAGGGGTGGGTGGAGCGAAGATTGTATATGAACAGAGGGTTTGAGTTGTGTGTGTATGGGGATGGGATTGTGTCTGTCTGTCTTTTTGTCTGTCGGCCTGTCTGTCTGTCAGTATATATTATAATAATAATAATATAATATATACTTACTTTTACTTTTTAAATGTTTTCATCCTCTGTTTCCGTTCAGCGTCGAGAGGGATACAGTTTTCTATGGTAGACCAGCTCCGCAGCTCTTTCAGATGTGATATTATGTTTTCTCTGGGTTTCCTTGACATCCTCGATCCACCTTTTGCGTGGCCTTCCTCTTCCTTTATAGCCTGAGTGTTTGGTGTTATAGGATCTCGAGACTGGCTGGCCAGGTGACATACGTAACAGGCGGCCAAATAATTTTATTCTCTGTCTTTCTGTGTAATGCAGGCATGACTCAGCTCAGTCCCGATAGCTGCTACTACTTTCCTCATTTCTTTGCCTGTCTCGTCTTGTGATGTTAAGGGTTTTGCAGAGACATTTCATTTCACATGCACTGATTTTGCTTTCATGGGTTTTACTTAATGTCCAGGTATGGCACTGGTATGAATGTTGGTATGAATATTGAGGTGATAAGCAGTCTCTTTGTGTCATGGAGATGTTTGGATAAGAAAGGAGGGGTGAGAGCTGGTAGGTGACGTTGTTGGTTTTTTTTTTAGTTCCCATTTCTATTTCTTTGTCTACGGACCCGTTTTCAGAAAAGGGTGCTGCCAAGATATTTAAACTCATTCACCTGTTTCAGTTATTTACTATTGAATGAATGTTCAGGGGACTATGGTTTCAGATCACTTTCATAACTTCTGTTTTCGATGAGCTCATTTTCATGTTAAGTTTCTCGCAGCTGTTCTTTAGTTCGGTAATGTGATTTTGGAGGCTTTTTTGGTTTGGATGAATAAGACATTGGTCGTCTGCGAATAGAAGTTCATTTAGGCTTTCTGGGCTTTGGTTTGCGTCTTGGGTTATTGTGTCCATACACTCGTATATTATAGAGAGGAAGGGAGATAGAACCCATCCCCGTCGTACTCCAGATCTTACTTTGAACCAGCCTGTATTGCCTTCATTCGTTCTTATTTGGCTTCTGCTGTAGGTATAGAGCTCTATTGTCCTCTGACGCCATACTTTTCGAGTGTCTTCCAGAGTTTTGCATGGTTTACTCTGTCAAAAGCCTTCTCCTGGTCTATAAAGACGACGTTGGAGTCTTTGTTGTGTTCGATTATTTTCTCGCATATCTGTCATATTGGCAATACAGAATCCGTACATCCTCTTCCCTTTCAAAATCCAAACTGAGCTTTGCTCATATTTCTCTCTACAATAGGTCTTATGTTGCCTTTTTTCCATAAGGGAACCATCATGGCTTTCTGTCAGTCTTCTGGGCATTTCATTTGTTCTATAATTTGTCTGTCTGTCTATCTGAATGTTTCTTTGTCTGTCTGTGTGTCTGTCTGTGTATTTGCCGTCCAGTCGATCTATCTGCCTGTGTGTCTTGCTTGTCTTAATGTCTGTCTGTCTGTGCTCAAGGGAGTGATTTCTCTCTTCATCTAACCCTGCGTATCTGATTAAATCTCTCTTTCTTTATCGTTGTCTCTGTCTCTATCTCTGTCCCTGTCTCCGACTCTCTCTCTCTCTCTCTCTCT